TAATAACTAATTATCTTTTTACTTTTACGATAATTATTGGTCCTGTTTTTAATATGGCTAATTGTAACATCTAAAAGTAATTATAATCATCAATTAATGGTAAATTCGTTTTTACAGTTGCTCTTAATTGATTTTGTAAGCCATATTTCCATAGCTACTTAAAAAATATTTGCATGAAGCACAATTCACAATACATTTCCCATAGAACGCGACGTGACTAACTTAGCATGCAATGTAATTATAACAGAAATGTCGGAAGCAATCATCCGGTTACGTTGCAGTTCTGAACAAGGTGCGTGCTGCGTGAAGGCACCTTCGGATGTCGACCGAACTATGAATAATTACTATCACTTATATTACAATAACGTTGGAGCTAAAATTAAACATTGATTTATGATAGATCAAACTGTGTAACCCGACACATTTCAAAGTTAAAAGTAATTTTATATGTTAATGATTGTCGAAATATTGGCAAAAATGCTAAAGCTTTCTTTAGTGTTTTTAACTATAGAAATAGACTTAAATTTAAAATATAACATTGATTTAAAAAGAACTGGAGAAATATTTAAAACACTTTGACTTATTTACAATTTTCATTGTAAATTCATATTTTTTTAAATACCGCCAGACGTTTCGGATGCATTGCAGCAGTGTTCACAGGGAGATCCGTAAATAAGTTTAACTAATATATTTCGCGTTTAAACCGTTAAAGTGTTTTATTTTGAATGTGTACTTCTTGCGTAAACTATACAGTATTTAGTATTTAGGAGATAGTGGTTGTCATCTTATACTTTTTCGCGAAAGTAACATTGGTATTCACGCTACGTAATTTTTTTGTGATTAAAATGCTCGTAGTCGCCTCGATCACAACTTAATATTTCTATCTTAAGATACTATCTTACACCAGTTATAAATATAAAATGTAATAATCGCAAAAAAGTGAGGGTAGTATAAAAAGTACAGGAGCGCATAACGAGAGTGATTAGTTACACAAGATACCATTTAGCTAGAATAATGATGACGCAAACATAATCTATTTAACTCTTAACATGCCATTGAACTAATAAAACAAGACTAACAGCATAGCATCGTATGCAATTATATCAGAACAAGTCTAAGGCAGTTGCCAGATACACCTGATAGTGGGCGTAGATGCAAAATTAAAACCGATAATTTATAAGCACATAATAATATAAATTTATGTTTAAATGAATCGATGCGAATCGTAGTAGACAAGATGTAAAATAGTACTTATTTAGCTTAGTTTCCTAACGCCAAGTACTTTGTTTTTATAACGTTTTTAGACTACGAAATAAAATAGTACAGTTTAGGAATGGAAGTTTCTTGGGTCTTCTTCTCGGTCATGTTGATATTTGGAAAACTAGAATCACGTTAGACACTTTTTGACGAATCTATAAAGTTTTTAAAGTTTTTAAAGTATATTTTTTAAAGCATCTTTTTTATTTAAAAAACGAACCAATAATAATTTAAATTTGGAACTGTCGGAACTGAACGGAAAGTGAATGACAATAAAATAATGAAATGTAGAATAAACCATACCATAATTAAAGTGTGACCAATGCTACATAGTGTGAAATTCGTTATGTAATATGTAATTTGATATTACGTATGCTAATATATCAGAACAGGTCGGAAGCAATCACGGCGAATAAGCTTATATGTCTGCCTTGAGGTAGATCGGGGACCCGTTCAAGACCGGCTTTGACTTCAGAGCTGCTTGTAGCTTGGACTTTTAGCAACGACCACTTTACGCTACTCACTCGACCAATTAGTGTGTCAACGACTTTAGTTTCAATCTTAAAATGAAAGATTAGTTCATATATGTACAACCTTAAAGTTACAGATAAACTGATCTACAGTTAAAAGAAAAAGGCTTCAAAATTGGTCAATTCCTTTACAACATAAACATCCATAGATGTCCTACGTATAATATAATATCCTTTCCATATTACTATCCTTAATTATTTGAAACAATTAGATATACTACTAAACGATAGCTACAGGTCACCTTTATGATTAAATATTTGCTACTAGACAGTTTTTCAAGGAAATGTCCTAAACGGACTAATGAGTTCGTTCAAGTCATCTAAAACCATCCTAATCTATTTCTATAAACGTCAAATCACGCAAAGATCATTTTACACTTCTGTTTATGGAAAATTTAAGAGACTTATACAAAGCTACACGGGTCGTTTATTAGAAGCAAACTTTTCTACTATCATCTAGAATAATATTACCCTTGCACGGGCTCTTAGCCTAAAATTTGCGTGACATGTAATGATGTCGCCATTATTCATTGTTCTTACACAGAGGCTTAATAGGATCTCTTTGTGTGTTTACAAAGTCCTTTGTAAGAACAATGTTGTCAATTTTACTACCTTTCCCTCGAAGACATTCATGTACCTAAAGGTTTTGTAGATAATCATAAACAATTACTAATAGTCGTTTCTTAGTAATACAAAATTAACAACTGACATTGTTCTATGGCAATTTATTATGGTTATGTTTGACATTTAGCACAGACAATTATATAATTTGAACCTTTTCAATGTGTGGTATAAAGAATAAGCAAACTTAGGTGCGCTTGTATCGTTCTTCTATTAATTGTATTCTCAAACATTAATTTACAATTATTGGTCTTCATCCACTAACGGAACCAAAAAATTGCCTTCATTTATAATAATATACCTAGTCTTCTACTACTACTGCAAAGCATCCGAAACGTCGGGCCATACTTAAAAATATTTTTTAAATAAGTTTAACTAATACATATCGAGTTTTAAACCGTTATAGTGTTTTATTTAAATGTGTACCCCTCGCGTAAACTACAGACAGTATTTAATATAAATTTGACTCATCTATATACGTATTTATGTTCTATAGGCGAATTGACATACAAAAATGTACTTTCTTTTTTTAATTTAATTTTTGTACACTGTGTATGTTCCGTTAAATATTATTTTAATTATCGCATCGACTTACTCTCAATTAAATCGGACAAGCGTTATTAAGATATTTTACACTTTTTATGGACATAAATCACGAAGCGAGCTACGTCAGTGTGGGAAGTTTACGCTCGACGAATAAGATCGCACACATAGATAAAACGGTCAATAGATTTTCTAATTAACGACCGTCATATTTCAAGGTTCATTTAACTTCAACACTTTATTTAATTAATTTAAATATTGCATTTAAGTTTTATATGCACAAACAGATTGAACGGTCGCTCTTAAGAAAGAAGAATATAAACAGACTAGTTGTTTTGGGCATCAAAATTAGTTTTTTAGACCTCTTCATCTTCATCAATTATCATATATCTAATATATCATATTATCAGACATATACTGTCGTATACTTTAATAGATAATTTAAAGAGGAATCATTCGTTTGACATATTTTTGGGTATCTTAAACCGTTAACACAATGAAAACCTTTAGAAATGAAAGTTTTCCCCTTTTTCCCAAATTTCCTGCTGTCCTTCACTCATATTACTCAATGGGATGTTTTATAGCCTATAGCCTTCTTCGATAAATGCTCTAACCAACACAAAACTATTTTTTAAAATTAAACCCAAGAGTTCCAGAAATTAGCGCGTTCAAACAAACAAACTCTTAAGCGTTATATATTAGTAAAGATATCGGATACATAACACTATACAAATAGGGCTCTCTAAATATAACAAGATAAAATTAAACTTTGCTACACCAAGATACATGGACAATAGAGTTCAACGACCTTTGCTATCGCAATTTATAACTATTGCAGGTTGCACGAAGTTCAGATCATGTCAAGATCGCGACTTGCGATAAACATTTAAAGTAAACATATCGCGCGATCTGACCCCATCTCGATTGACCTTGCTTTACGTAACGGGTCCACAAAATCGATTTATGTAGAATCGAGGAATTCTCAAAACGCTTTACGTCCAAGGGGCGACGGCACAATTGTTCTAACGATAATCAAAATCGAATCGACATCGATCATTCAACTCGTCAGGACGTGACATCCGGAATTAGAGGATGCCACCACCGTGATTTCTACCCAATTTTCTCTCGGCATTGTTTAACTGTTACAGCGATTTCAAGTAAACGCTGATTACTATGAGAGGAAAAGATGTGACTAACCCGCCGTCCACTGCTCCACTTTAAGCTTCATTATCTATACTAATTGCTGTGGAGGCATTAATTGAATAATCGATAGCAGTTACCAAAATATAGGGTGAAAGCTGCGGGGAAAAGTCGAAGCAATTATCTCCTCTTTAGATAACAGTTTTAAAAGTAAAAGTCAATCAGAACGGCGATTGATAAAAACCAGCTCAATGAAAATAATCTATCGGAAATAAGAAATAAATAAACGCAGTATTGTTATACGTAATTGCGTTAGTTCTCGGAAGTGTATTTAAAAATTAACTTGTTCATTTAATTTAATACACGATGATGTACAGTGGTTTGGTGCTTAATAGATGATAGAGGATGGTCATCACATATTGGAGATGAAACCAAGAATTTATGAATTACCTATTAGTAAAAAACAAACGATATAAATACTTTATGTTAAAGTACAAAATGCAAAAAAGTTTAAGTAAATCATACCGTCAAGCATAACCCACCGTCGTGGAATCAAGATATTTATTTCATGTATTGACTTAATAAAATAGAGAATTGGTTTTTTACTATATCATGTCTCTTGTAGCATGATTATTGACAATTTCCAATAAATAGCAGTAGAATTGAAATAGTAGTATTAAATCCATTTAATTTCGCAAACAATTGCCTTAAATTAAAGTAAAAAACGTTTAGATTAAAATAAAAAACAAACATTTAATATGTAATCTAATATGTTCTATAAAACATATTAAATGTTATATAGAAACAGCAAAAACGTAATTGAAATATAAAAAAAATACACACGTAGACGACGAAGACCTCCCTGCGTGGATTATAAACCTATATTACACAAAAATACTAAATATTGAAATGAATGAGAATAAGCACGATATCCGATCTGAGACGATAGACAAGCAACGCACAGATTGTAAGCGTAAGTCGTTAAAAAGTTCGATAAATAGCGGAACACGTACAAGAAGGCTTTGTTGTGAACGAGCAGCGTCAACAGATATACGGGTCACTGGAGCAGATGGCGAGATAGCGAGATTTTTATCCCAAACCTCGCAGCGGGTAAACGCAGTAATTGCAGCGCAATGTACACTGAATAGAGAGTTGTAGTAACCGTTACGCATTGCTAACATTCTAGTGCCGGCGTTAACGCGTACATCGATTGTTTTCAACGCCGATGGAGATGATCGGTAATTACTGTAATTTGTTATCTTAGTCGCGACGTATCTACGAGAATTTCTAGAAATTGAGCTTTACTTTAGGTATTCCTAACATCCTAATGGAACATACAGTTGGTAACATCATTCTTTGTGAATATTTATATTGCATACTCGCTGTGCCAGCGACTTTATCCGCGTCGAGTTATTTTGCGCAATATACTTACTTTTGCAAAACAACTTCTCAGCTTTATAAATTATAGCGGTTACTTAACAAACCTACTAATCATTTTCCTCGTTTTTCCACATTTTCCCCTGTTTCTTCGCTTCTATTGGTCGCAGCCTGATGTTTAATTGCTAACTCTAAAGGCTTTCTCTATTTTTTTTTAAATTCGAACGGAAGCGATTCGGAATTCCTAAGATTAGTGCATTTAAACAAACAAACTTTATTATTTTTTACATTTTATTGCACATGAAGGCACTATATAATTTAAAAATCGAAAGTAAATTTAAAAAAATTCGACTCTTGCAGGATTTGAACCGGCATCGGCATCGTTGCTCTACCAATTGAGCTGCCGACCGTATTTGTCAATTTATTTTCGATTTTTAAACTAACTCACTCTTAAATTTTATAATATTACTACAGATGTAGACAGCTCATAAACAAAATAATGCTACTTCTAATAAACGAGACCTATTAAAATTTTTAATCTCTATTAGACAAGCCATAAAAATTAATCATTAATATTTCTTTCGTGGTTGATATTAATAGGAATAGAAATCTGTACTAGAAACTTGTCAACTTTTATATTCAGATAAATATATAATTGAATCTTTAAAAAGGATAAAATCATTACTAAATAATACAATATAATGTTTGGAATACAAATGTTGTTGGAGTACAAGTCGGCACGCATGGTCTAATAGCCAAGACGTCAATAACTGTAATAAGCATATCTCCGGAAGGTAGAAACTTGCCGATCGCTAAGATCAAAGAGAGGTAAAGTTCAATAAGAGGACACACTTGGAAACGTTCTCAAGGGGGGAGATGAATGGAACCTTGTTCGTCGGACCGACATCTTTCTCATCATTGTGTCTATAATTAATAACCACAGCTCAGGCTTTCGATGGCTTCGTATATTTTTCTAACATCATTAAGAGTAAGCATAAAAGTAACGAGGTAATTTCCCAGTGTAAAATACCATTACGCTAATATATTTTCCATAAAAAACAGCTTAGTTATTCGAAGAATATCAAACCCGGCTAGTTTTTCCAAATACTAACTACGACGGAACAGATGGTGCCAGCGTAGTCTTTAGTCTCCCCGTGAGCATGCCCCAGTAAAGATAACGGAACGTCGGGCCGTAATTAAAATAATTTGTAAATAAGTTAATTAATATATTTCCCGTTTTAAACCGTTAAAGTGTTTAATTATTTGTAATACTCGCGTGAAGACAGTATCTAATTTGAAGAATACCTTGAACCCTCAAACTGCTCATTACCAAAAAAAATGAGAGTGAAAATGTATCTACAGAGTATTTATTAAAAATTAATTAGTTTAAGATGTTAAATGCGTTTTTCTGTTGCAGACCGTACCTCTACCAGCCGGCTCCACTTCAGTATTGGCGAAACCGACGAAGTACCACTATTATCCTCACAATCAACACATTTATTTGCTCCCTGAATGTGCTATTCAACAGGTAAACTTATTCAAATGCTTCCTGATTTGATCGGAGGACTAGTATACATTTCCATTAACTTGAATTTAGAACACGAATTATGTCAATAGAATTTTCATTCGCAATGGATTTGTGCTAAAATAGAAATTTATTCTAGGAAATGATTTGGAGCTTTGATTTAATTTAATGTTGATCTAGCTTTTGTATGCGTAGGGTATTTTAACGTGGTTGTGACATATGTAACATGAAGAATTTAATGAAAACAATTTAAATATGCTGAAAACTTAAATATTTTTTCCATGTACTATATAATTTAACAGGCACTATATCATTTAAAAATCGAAAATAAATAGAAAAAAAAATCAAATTTTTGAGCTACTGAGAGCAACAACACGGAACGCTGACGAAGCCGGTTCAAATCCTGCCCGAGTCGAAATTTTTTTTCAATTTAAAAAAAATGCTGTTCAAAATTGATGTTCAGTATTGTAAATTGTCATGTTTATATATTATAAAGGTAATCTGATTGACAACGTATATTATCATCTTTAATCTTTTATTGTATCTTGTATGTTAAGTAGCATTAATAAACCATAAAGGTTAACTAACCGCCTATCTATTAAAAAATATTAAGGAAACACAGACGTAGCCTATCTTGTAACGTTGTATAGCTTCGTTAGATTTTCAAGCGTTAGAATCTTACATTTCTTGATATTCTAGGTGTGCAACGCCGTTTACGTCCGTTTGAATTACACGCAGCCACTCTGCGCTTGCCCGGCGCGGTACCGGGACCCTTGCTCGGCAAGTCTCAACGCCGACGACCTGCATACCACGCGCCTCACCACAGATTCCAAAAAGAAGGTAATTTATCTATCGTGAAACAAATAATGTGGATAATGCTAGCTACAGTTACTATTTAATGATAATAGTACGCGACTTCCATTTTAATTCAAGATGTGCTTGCGCATATTTTTTGTCATGAAACCGTATAGCCTAAAATACGCATATTTTTCTTTATGTGAAAGGAGCACTGGAGGGTTCACTTGGTCTTAGCTCATGCCTCTGTCATATATCATTAAAACAAACATCATATAGCCAAAATAGCCTACTTGCTTTCTTATTTTTTTTATACTAAACGAAATGAAATATAATTAGGAAAGAAACAGGTTCGAACGGCCACTATAAGTCGCTACGGGAGCATAGATAACTTGTTTTGATTTATCTAAGTTTTTAATTACTTGTAATTAGTAAAATTAACGAGGAAAAATATTTCAATGTCTATTTCGAATGAGATATATCTTTCATCCTGCGGGCATATAACCCTACTCGTACATTCCAAATTTTATCCATCGGCGCTCGAACTTTTTTTTCTTAGCCTTTCTGGAATCATTACAACGTCCTACTGACCTGTTCCCACGTCGAAAAAAATATATCCAATAATTGATACCTTTTAGGACCAAGACCATAAGATGAAAACTATTTCATAATCTAACGGTCTACTGAAGTGTCGAGCCATAACATTGTATAGATCTAACAGTTATAAATGCATCGCGTACGCATCTATTGCAACCATTTTTCAAAGTTGTGAAATTGATGTTGTGGGATCACGACATCAATTCGCTATGTTATTGATGATAAACTGTTAGTTTTCTTTCTTCCAAGATAAATATATGTATCGTCGAGCGCTAATGATAGATTATTTGAACGTGTTCGCGGTAAGGGTAAATTCCGCCTAGACTTAGTATACCTACATAGTTTAAGTTCGTGATTTGCTCATAATCGCCTCTGTAGCCAAATAATTAAAGATTTTGATTAGCATTGGGATAAGTGCGAGAGGTCCTGGGTTTGAACCCTAGGGATATCTGACGGGCTCGTCAATCTAATAGTAGCAATGTATGGCTAATAATCAACGGGTCGTGGATTCGATCCTCACCGGGTTTAACATTTTTCTCAATTCTTCAATTTACCTGCCATCATTTTTCTGAAACATATTGGGGTTTGGAAATCTGAATGTCAAATGAGTGGTAGGAATATAAAAATTCCCTCGGGGTTCTCAACCACAGATGAAAAAGCCGTGAAGCTTAATCGCGTTTCGGTTTCAATCAATGGATTTCCGAATATCCAAAGCCAAGAGGTCGACTGCGCATCGTGTTTAAATGTTATATGGCTAGGGTATGTCACCTTCCATCGAGTGAACCATGATTGTCTGTCCTGCTCTATCATTAAAATAAAATGATTGTTTCGGTTGGGCAGGGTACAGAAGTCTGATCAACTACTTGCGTGTAAAGGAACCCATCGGTAAAACGGACACAGAAATGTGTTCGCCCCATGGAGAGGGGGGAACAGGATTTTACTTATTTGCCCATGAGTAGTATCTTTAGAGCATAGTAAATGGATGATGGAATCTAAAACGTTCGTAGTATGTATGTGTGTGTATACTGTCTGTACGCATCTGTAGGACTCTAGATACCTTGGAAGTGACGAATCCAGACCCGGTTTTCAGCACCGTGTCATTATAGTTATGTGTATGATAATCTAACACTGTTCTATTATATTTTACAGTACGCAAAGAAAGCAGTTACTCTAGTTAAGACGTGTGAAGCCGTGTCAGAGATGAGAGAGTGTCGCGCCCCGCGGGATTGGTCGTTATTGGCTTTGCAAAACATAAGGACCGGAAAATCTCACTATTTAGTCATATGCCGCTGTCCTGATACTCATATTCTCGGTAAATATTATTTTATTTTATGTGTATACTGTATTCAGTTTAAATTAGTGTACCTCCTCCAAGCGTTAGAAGCTAATCGTGAGCTTGCATTAGTCTGCAGAGGTATTGGGTTCAAAATCCGTTTCATAAAAATAATTGTACTTTTTGGATTTTTGAAAGCTGAAAACAAAGTTTTTTGGATAGATATCACATAGGCTGTGTTTAAGGTTCACAGACATTAAATTTCGTATATTTTCTCAAGCAAGATTACATGGTTAATATATAAGTTTATGATACAAAGTACTGAAATATATTTAAATAAAACATTTTAACGGTTTAAAACGCGATATATTAGTTAAACTTATTTAAAAATGATTTTTAACTTCGGCTCGACATTTCGGATGCTTTGCAGCCGTGGTCACGGGGAGACTAAAGATGGAGGATGTCTTTGACGTCAGAGTAAAAAATTGCTAATTGAAATATGTGTTAATATGCATATTTATATACCGCGTCTGTAGCCAGATAATTAAACATGTTGCCTAGCATTGCGAAAGAGGTGCGGGGTACGACACCCAGGGAAAAATAAATTCTTTTGGCATGTGCCTGTTAAAGAAACGACCAGTGAAACAGGCACAGAAATGTGTTCGCCCCTTGCCCCATTCGGCGAACGCGATTACAAACACACTATGCACTTTTACGAGCTACATAGTAATATAATTTGAATGCATGAAATCGATATAACGTTACGTCCTAGAATCCTTTCTAAGCGAGGATGTGACGAAGTGGGGAAAGATGCTAATAGCATTACAGTTATGTTAATAAGTGGCTTGGGATTAAACCGGATATTGGCATACTAGGCTATCGAATTGATTTTAAGTAGCGATTAACGTTCGATTGGATTTAATATTCAGAACACTTTGAAGTATATATTAACAGCCTTAACGTTTGCTACAGTTATTTTGCTTACTACAGTTTCTTTTGCTAAAAGATAACGGAAGGAGTGCATTCGTGGAAGTTAGGAGTTCTTAGAATTATCGCTTCTGTTTTTGGTCACGCTCCGCATAGAACCACGTTTTAAAATTTATTAAAATATGGACGGTAATGTACGATGGCGGGACTATAAGAACTAAACTAGCGCCGAAAAATCATTCGAAGTTACGATGTAAAGTGTATTTTTTCTAACTTGGCGTTTTTGGTAAACAAAACCAATTTACATGATATCAAATTCAAATTCGTATTATCGTGGTTTATTCACAAGGTTTACATTTATTTACACAAAAATCACTTCGAGAGACTGGATTATATATTACATTAATGAACTACTTCAAATTCGCTTAGTAAAAATCACAATTTCATGCTAAAATTTTAAAAATGACTTTTACCTGAATGGACAGGTTAAAATGTCTTTAGTTTTTACATTTACATAAGGACGCAAGCAACGTCAACGACGATAGAAGGCAGGAGTTCCACTCATGGACGATCGCTGAAAATCTTTAGAAACGTTGAGTTAAATAATAATAACATAAAAAATAAAATAAAAATTGTTGATTTTTATAGATTGAAATTGTTGTCATGGCATCCCTAGTTCTCTATGGTTTCAAATCGGCCATATTTGTTGTGGTCATTTGCCAAGTCAGAAAAAATACACTACATCTATAATGTACGAATGAATTACTCTTACTAAGTTACACGGAAATGATATAGAAATACCACAGAGTAACGTTAAGAGTAAGTGAACAAATGCTTACAAAGCCTCTCAAATGTTCACTTTATGCAATCTGTACAAACATTATATTTCAGAAGGGCCAATGTCTCATGATCAACCAACTTATGCATCTGTGCCCGGAATCAGAGTTTATGGGATGATGTGTGTGCGACCGACTACGCCGTACCATTCTGGTAAGTCACTATTTTTATTAGGCCGCAGTACATGCGCGTAAAAGAAATGCTAGCGACCTCTGTTTCAAACATTTAAATGCGTGTGATAGCTAATTAGTCTGCCATTTGGGATATAATATTAATTATATGTATGTTTAATATTTCTAGTTATTTTGTCATATACTGACACAGTGCCATATTTTCATATTACCAAGACCTGCTAATTTGGGTAATAAAGTATTAGTGGTATTAAATGTTTTGTGATAGTTTTACGTTTAAGAACACGTTAGGTAATTTTTTCTTACACTATCTAATTCCATGAAGGGAGGCGTAACCTAGCCTATCACGTACTGTAATGATAATTAACATTGTATACAGGATCTACAAACGTATGTTTTTTTAATCCGGTTTTTTGTTAAATATTGTTAAACATTTTTCTTTCGCAGCGTTCACGAATAGGTTCCCAAGCGGAGTATCAAGTACCCCCAGCTCATACAAGGTGGACTATTCCCAACCGCACTCGTACGACAAGCCAGTGTACAACCGCTTCCAAACTCACAGCTATCTCGACTCGAATTACTACAATAGGCGGACCCGGGCGTCGCGCATGAGGCGAGCAACATCAGAAAACCCACCCTTTCCATGGTACAAAGTGATAGAACTAGCGCGATCGTTACATTGGATTAATTAAGTATTTATTTAAATTAAAAGTATGTTGGGTTCATGCAGGCCATTATAAGTTTCGCCTCATTGAACTCAACGAAAACTTCAGCTAGGGTAAATAGCTCTCTCTCAAGATGACTGTACGTTTCTTTACAATCAAAAATCGATCTTAAAATGTTATAGTAAAGTCTAGATTAACAAAACCGACTTCCGGAAAGTAGCGTAGGAAATAATTGAGAAAGAAATGTATCACAATCTTGGGATAGATTCTTATATTTTATATCGAAACGCTTTAGCTTCCATGTACCAGTATAGTATAGAATTCGAGTATTATATATTTAACTTGTCTGTGAAATACTCATACATACTGCATTTAATAGTTTTACTTAATATTAAAATCATGTATACTCTATTATTGAAAGTTTAAAACACACACTGTTTTCATGGTTAGGTAAACATCAGTAGATTAACTGGTATTCTACAGAACTCCAATCACAAAAAGTTACTGACTTGAAATAGTGCTACGAAAATGTCTGAGACACAAAACATACCATGGGACCCACTTAGTGCTTCTCAATAGTTAAAATGTGTGTTTAAGCTTAATTAAGTATTCAGATTGCCAGAACATTAGAGGTAACACGAACATATTATAAGTTAAAAACGAATTTGAGATTGCCAATAAGAAATTAACTTATATTAAGAACTCAAAATGTACACAAAAGAATGTGATAAGTGTTCAGTGCATTCCCGTGTATTCCGATGCATTTACATAAATTTAAGTTAGGCATAAAATTATTTATACTAAAAATAAACGACGTAGAGAAATGCTGTGTAAATATTACTGATAATTGCAATATTTGTAATTACGTACAATTAAAATTTATAACAAAATTTATTATTTGTTTTTTTTTAACGCGCATACATTTATTGTAGACTTACCGTAATCTCGGTACCGGAATCCAGGCCTCCTAGACATTATATACTAGGTTAGACATATCAATAAACAAAACATACCTAATACTTTCTGGTCGACAACGATATCGCAGGAGTACATAGCGGCCATCAACCTCTGAGGCTGCACTTGAAACGCACGCCGACATCCTTCCTTCACAGCGGACATAATTTGACCTAAAAGAAATATACCTAGACCTAAAATATCTCTTATATATCCATTGTGCTACAAGGAAACTACGTAATTAATTAAACTTGCAAAATCTCGCCATTTAAATAAAGAGAAATATCTCTGAAAAGCGATGAGGCAGCTACACTATATTTTTTTTTATTCTTATGTATCTTACTGCCTAGTGGTATTATGTATTAGAATAAAAAATCGTCACATATAATTTTTGATACAATTTCCAAATAGCACCATCTATTATCAATGATACACAAGTCAGGATATTAAAACACTAAAAACACGGCTTCAACCGGAAAAATTCAAGAGTGAATATTACCTGATAAAGGCCCATATGAATGTGTTTCGTCACTATCACCTTTCTCTAAGGCCCATTCTTCGACACAGAAAGCCACTCCCATCATCGGTTCTTCACACAGCGGCCCCGCTAATGTTGCCAATTGAAAACCATTAACAAAACTGCTCTCATATTCAAACCTGATATCTTCCTTCAAAACTTTTTCATGGTGTAAGTATTTAGTACTATAATCCTCCGTCTGGTTTAGAAGTAAATTCGGGCCGCAATTCCTAGGGCCCACAGACCATATTTGCTTGACAACATCCTGCCATTCCGGTCCCAGTTTTGTACAGATACTTTGCAACTCCTGTATAAAGGCTTCTATTAATTTCAGCATTCTTTCTGACAGCTCGTGTTTTGCTTTGCCGTTAATTTGTAGATCATCTAGTTTATTTTCTAGATTTTCATTCGATATTCCTTGTAGATATTTTATATGCTGTGAAATAGCTTTGAGTAAGTCTGATGATCTATCTAATAAATCAGTTATTTCATTGGGTAGTGGTTTAGCTCTGATTTTGATTCTACTCTGTTTGTTGTTCGTGTAGATTGTTATTACTGGATCTTGTTCATTGTCGTTTCCTTTATCTATATTTTGGGAGTCTATTTCCTCATTGGTCATATCTATTTTTGGTGGTTCCACAATGGTTTCTTTAAATGGAACTATTGGTTCAGATACTGTGATTGGTATTTTTGCATAAAGATTCCTGTTTAATAAAAAAAATTAAATTAACTATCAGTTTGAGACAATATTAAAAAATATATGAAACATGAATTTTTTAAATGTCATCTTACTTTAGATCTTCTAGACACCTCTGTAGATGGACTTCACCAGCAGTCACAAGCACGTGTTCACCAGTTTCCTGTAGAAACACCTGGACGCAGGAGTCAGACTGATTCAATAGTCTAAGACCTGGAATACAACAATTATAATATCCTTTATTGTATCCTATAGTCTAATAAGATTTACAATATAGTTTAACATATGTGAGTGAGAAGTTTGATACTAATAAACTAAACGATATAATACTAATACCTATACTATGACCAAAATGCATAAAGTAATAAAATCACTTGACGGAAGGTGAAATACCTATACATACTACTTTGGTTTTAAATATTCGAGAAAAAGAAAAATGTTGAGATAATAAAGTTTTACCCATTAAATCATAGCATGCTGTTACTTTAATTAAACACTCATAAACAATAACGGGGTGATTTTGAAACACGAGCATTAAACGTTTATACGTTTCGTAATTATTGGGTAGCAGTTAAAATAATTACAGATGCATCTTACCTTTAACTAACTCTGGTAACTGTGACGGATAAGTTGGTTCTATAGCTACTCTCAAAATTGGCACAGCTGCGTACTGAATTTCGCTGAAGGGAGGACAAGCAAGTGTGCTGCTTAAAATTGCCGTTTTTAATATGTGATCATCTAGACCTCCGATACCTAATAATAAAAAAGGAACATTTTAACTCGGTAATAACAAATCATCGCAATAAATTCTGTAGAATTCTTTTAGTATTCAAAATAACATAATACGATTAAGTCTAATACGTTAGTAGTACACATTTAAATAAAACAGTTTTAACGTTTTAAAACGGGCAACATATCGGTGAAACTTATTTTTCTACCTTAATTTGTGTACTACAACGACTACAACGCTATAAGCGCCGCTTTATCGTCTTACAATAAATAAAAGTTTAGCAGTATTTAAGAACTAACATACCAATAATATTTCCGCTAACTGCTTCATTGATGTCTTCCAATTCCCTTCCCATTAGGATATACAGTGATTTAATTCTGTAATAATAAAATAAGGAAACACATAGATGCAATTTATAGTAATTATTAATATGGAACAATCTATTTCTATAAAACAAAACTTACTCAGCACATGTAACATGTTCATCACTCAGCAAATCCTTTAATTTCTTATTAGGATCTACTTTGAAACTTGGATCATTTAGTATTCTAGATGGATCGTGTTTAGGACCTAGAACGTAAACTTTGTCTCCTCTCTTAACTTTACCGCTGAATACTCTGGCAAAAGCTATAAACGCTGTGTCACTTTCTTTGTCTTCATCTTCCTTTCCTCTTTCGTCTTCTGTACATTTTTCCGGAGTGTCCACCGTTTCCTTGGACATTGGCAGTGGTTCACTATTAGTGTTATTCTTTAATTCTTCGCGCATCTGTCTCGCTCTCTCTCGACGTAATGCCATTTCTTCAGCCGTCAATGCCTTAGGCTTATTCTCAGGTAGTGAACTTCGTTCAACACTAAACATCTTTGATATGAAAATAATTAATGGTCTATTATTACTACTATCACAGGCGAGGAAGTCATCTTTCAGCTTTTTTGTTTCGTCTGGATACGAATCGAAGTCGCGTATTCGCGAGCACATTAGTTTTTCAACTTTTTCTGGAAGAATTTCTTTTGGAGACGGAAGCTTAGTACACACCATATCTAAAACCGTTTGCGATAATGGAAGCCACTGCATCATTAGAGACTGTAACTGCACTCTACCGTCAGTGTGTCGTAGATCTCTAGTCGTTAACTGGATTCCAAGTTTTTCACAAATTACGGGCACTTTCATTTTATCGTTTCTTAAAATTATTGTTTCATAAATATTCCAGAGGTTATCAAAAACGACTTGTACAAAAAGAGGTTTTTTGGCCTTTTCTTGAGCACCTTTCATAAATCGTTTTGTTTTTGAATTCAAATAGAAATCACCCCATAGCACTTTTCTCAAAAGCTCTTCCTTTACTCCTGAAAAGTGAAAACAGAAAAGTTAAATCAAAAGCAAGTTTTAATAGTTTACAAGATTTATTAGAATTTATCATATAAAGCCATAATAATAATAAATAGTTGTATATAGTATTCTTACCTAATTTATTTGAGAATAATTTAGCAAATGTATGGGTTGTGAATCCCCAACCATCTATAGCACTTGCAAATACAACATTTCCCTGCTCAGGAGAAAAATAAAGATTTGAGTCATCGGCATCTTCCAAAGCAGAAGTCCAATCGTAGAAGTTTTGATCTTCTTTTGACGGTGGTTTTGTTTCCTGTAAAGTGATGAGTTAATATAAAAAAGTAATGAAAATAATACTTCCTTTATCCTAAACTATGGTTGAAATGCTCATTAATCTCACTCTGCCATTTTGGGGTCCTCTGTAAGACTATACTTTTTTACTGCAATATAACTACATATTGCAGTAAAAAACCACCAGATACCAGAGATTAATTGATTGATTTTAAATATAGGCAACCTAGCTGAACCTACATTTAAATTGTTTATTAATGTCCTGAAATTTACAGCCAAGGTTAGGTATTTGTGTTTAACACAATGCTAGGCAACATATTTCACCACTCAGCCATGATGGTGCAAAACCAGTTCTTAGATCTTTTGTTATTGTCTTTATAGGTATCAAACCATACCTGCTTATTAATAGTATTTTCTTCATTTTCCAACACTTCAGATGCAAATAATTCTCCCATTACAGCATTGACCTGTTCTAATACTTGTGTTATATGAACATATGCATCCAGCGCTGACATTTTCATCTCGACTATTAGTCTGTCAATCTTATTCAGAACAAGAACAGGTCTTATATTTTCTGAATAGGCTTGTTTTAACACTAGTCTTGTTTGTGGGCAAACTCCTTCAACAACATCTACCTGGAAAATTAGATTATTTGTTAATATTGTGAAAAAATTTAGATTTATTACTTTAATAAAATTAAAGTAAAAATATAATATTTTAAGTAAATAATTGGTATATTATTTTACAACATAATAATATTCACATAATGTTAATTTTGCTAATTATCAGGAGTTATTCAAATTAAATAAAGTACTCACAACAACAATTGCACCATCACATAATCTTACTGCAGTAGAAACTTCACTTGAGAAATCAATGTGTCCTGGTGAATCTATCAAGTTCACAAGATATTCCGTCTGATCCAGGGCATGGTACAATGCAATACTGCTGCTTTTCATGGTGATACCTCGTTCTTGTTCGTCAGGCCTACTGTCCATATAACGAAGCTTCCCGGACATTCTCTGAGATATAATACCATTGCTGGATATTAAGGCATCTGCAAGGGTAGTTTTCCCGTGATCCACGTGGGCTACAATACATATATTGCGAATATTTGAAGGTTTGTTTTGAAGATCAAACAACTTCGTCGAATCGACGAGCCGCATGTTGGAAATGATAGCAGGAAATTCACGTGCGAGATTTTGGAAAAATATTTCAAGTATATATTATTAATTTTGTAAATAAAACAGGATGTTTAATTCACGAAATGTTCAAAGAAAAATTGCACAACGTGAGCGAAACATTGAAAAATTGTCGATTGTTGACTTTTCAATGTTCACGAAACTAGTTTAGAATTGTCATTTTGACGTTGACATAAGACACTATATAAATTATTTTTATTGGTTTGAATGTGTTAAGCGCCATCTATAAGAATTTATGACGTAACACATTATTTCTAATAAACTATAGATGGCACAGGAAGCTAAACCCACAAATGTTCATTGTATGAAATTTAGGTTAACAATATTGCTAAATAAGTTTGGACCTTTACAGTGATATGTTATTGGAACCCCTATAAATTTAATATAGAAAATAAATAGGAATATATTATTTTAAGAGAATATTTGAAATTACGAATTTAAAATCTTGTCAAAGTCTGGAAATTCTAAAGTCGAAGGTCGTAGAGTAAGTTATTAACAACTTGAATACGTCCGCGTCGGATTAAGGACCTATCCTCATTATTCATTTAAGGGGATCAGGAAACTTCGTTGGATACGCTTTAATTTATTTACTTAGGTGCACTAACATTTGACTATAGTTTAGGAGATTTTAGACTGATAGAGCGAGATATATGCACATATTACGTTTTATTTTCTACTTTTATCATATACTAGCTGTTCCCGCGACTTCGTCGTCGTATCTTGGGGTAGAATTTTTGATTATTGAGGCTGTTTATTAATTTATGTAAGGGCGCATTTAAGGCAGCCACTACATATAAACTTTAATCCCCCTTTTAATCCCTTACAACCCCCTTTTCGCAATAAAAGGCCTTAAAAAAGCAATACGTAGCCTATTCTTTCTCAGGGGCTAGACCATCTGTATACAAAATTTCATTCAAACCCGTTCAGTAGTTTTGGCGTGAAAGAGTAACAGACTGACAGACAGACAAACAGTTATAAATGCGAAAGTAACTCTACTTTCGCATTTATAAATTATACATTAAACTTATACTTTGCTTAAATAATTCATTTGAGCTTATAAACATAATAATTATAATTTCTAATTAGAGTTATGAACAAAAAACACATAAGTTGGGTCTAATAAATAAAGTACCCTCAGATCTTTGACGAAAATTAATATATGTAAATGTAGTAGGTTCTTAACCTAAATACTTAGTCAAAGACAACTCTCATTTAATTTATGAATATATCACCTAAGAAGGCGAAGTTAATATTATGTCCTTGGCTTCTGTCGCGTTTCAAACTTAACAAATTGAAGGATTGATGTTCTTTAGAGCCTACTCTTTACTAGAACTAGGTTAAAGGTAAGAAGATTATCCAGATTGCATATAAAAACATTTATACATTGTTTATTACAAATATTAATATGTTAAATAGAGATTTGGTTTGTCTAGGTACATGCATTGTACTGTTCGTGTGTTCGTTCTAGAGTTAAAACCAAGGTCCGAAGATTGATGCAGGAAAATATATATAGAAGCCGGTATATCTTAAAACGAAATTGGCCAACACATTCTATCTGCCATAAATTAAGGCTCATTATACCTTTAGTAGGCTATAATCTCAGCAGTGGGAGCAAACAAATTGTTGATGACCATTATAAATAGAGAAAATTCTGGCACCCAGAAACTAACAGTAATTTTGCTTTTAATGGAAGTTTAATATACCTTGATCTTCTGGATATTTTTTTTTGTGAAATTTCGTTTACCGTCGTGGGGCATCGGAACACGCTTCTGTGTCCGTTTCACTGCCGTCTGTTCTGTTCCGATCCGATCCGTTCTTTAACAGGCATGTAGTTGATCAGGCATCTGTGCCCTGCCCGACCGTAACAAATTATATTTTTCCCCAGGATTTGATCCCAGTATCTGTCGCGGTTTCGGCAATGATAGGCTACACACCATTTAGCTACAGAAGCGGTCACGATCTTCTCGATAGTTGCCTTGATTTATGTCCCCTCATATTTTCCACTTAGTAAAAAGCGCGTTACTAGACCGAAGTTCTCTTTTTTAGTCCGTTGCACAACAGTATCGGGCCATAGTTTGCCACGATGCATCATTACGAAGTTTTGCGCAACTCTTTTCTTGCAGCATGAATATTCATCGGGGCGTCGTTAATGTCGGATACTTGAGAGTTGGCTGGTTTCCCTCTTAACTAACCCGTAGTTGTGCTCCAGTGAAAAAGCGTAATTTCGCAAGGCAAAAACGTAACCTTGACTCGACTTCATTAACTATTCTGGGTTATTAATTTAAAATTGCGATCTCCATTTTATTTTTCGCTGGGCGTTCAAAATAAGACCATTAATCGCGCAGAAGGAACTTTTTTTTAATGTTAGAAGAGGGCAGACAAGCATGCGATTCACGTGTTGTTAGGTGGTATAGTCCAGCCTATAGCATCTAAACGAGATTTGGCTTTGGATATTCGGAAATCCACAGACCTAAATCGAAACGCGGTTAACCTTCACGGGTTTTTCTCCTGTTGTCTGACGGAACCACCCATTTAATGTCCAGATTTCCAGACGAAGTCCAACATGATTCAGAAAAATTATAAATTTGTCGTAATAAACATGTTGGACCGGGTGGGGATCGAAGTCGTGACCCGTTGATTGTTAGCCACACTTGCTACCATTAGACGAAGAAAACCGTCGAACTTTTACATCGCAACGATAAAACAACATTATGACGAACTAGGAGGCGTTAAAATAAACAAGTGGAGTGGTAGGGGAGGAAGCAATTCTTCCAGGGTACACCATTATTCTTACCACGTCTCGCGTGCAATTAGTTCGGGTGCTTATTTCTTTATATACGCCGTATCACCTTGACCACAAACGTTCAGCTTCACAATAGCAGCTACATCACTAAATATTATTAACTATTTAGAGAATAAATGGTTACAGTTTAGTATAGACTAATAACAAGTCGTCTCTTTTTAACCCCTGAATAAAAAAGTTGTTGTTGTCTTTGTTATGAGCGAAAAAGTTCACTAAGTAGGGAGGGGGGGGTGTTGATGATTATTCAATCAATCTACGCTGGCACGACGACCCAAAGTGGGTTTTGGCCTCCACAACAAGAAAACGCCACTTCCGTCGATCCTGCGTCACGATTCGCCACTCGAAGATACCGAGTTCTTCTAGGTCAAGCTCCACCGCGTCTTTCCAGCGGTATCTTGGCCGGCCAACGGGTCGGCGGCCATTTCGAGATACGTCTTATTGACGTTTCGGTGTTCTTCCATTCTTTCGATGTGGCCGGTCCAGCAGAGTCTTTGAGCTCGAGCTTCTCCCAGGATGTTAGAGGCGGCAAACAGCTTTTCGAGCTCCTCGTTCTTTCGCGGCCATTCTTCAATATGAAAATATAATTAATTACCATTTTCATAATAATACTGCAGTAGTATAAACAAACATTTCTCTTAGTTAAACGGAATAATAATTCACTAGTACGTAACAATAGTGAGCTTAATTCTTAGCGTTACGAAGCCAGCACTATTTGTGCGGTTTCCTTGATACCGCTTAATGCAGAAGGCGTGTCTAATTCAACATGAAGTGTTTACTAAAAGCTTTTACCTTTTCAATACTATGGAGGATTTAATAAATGGTAATCAAGACCGTCAAATGATTAGCCATTCCCTTTTACTGGACATCCGAGACGGGGACTGTTTAGTTTAATTAATACGATAGACATTAAATGAACGCTTGATATCAAAATTCAGCGCCATTTTGTTAATATTATGTTGCAGAGTGATTTCGGTAATCAATTCTAGTTGTTTGGTGAATTGTACAGTTTGATTCTGGTATGAAATAAGCTTGGGTGGTTTATTTTCATTTAATAATAACGTTTAACTCACACTTAATATATATAACTTATTTGAAAATGATTTTGAACTTCGGCCCGACGTTTCGGATACTTATCATCAGCCGTGGTCACGGGATTTAACTAATATCGCGTTTTAAACCGTTAAAGTGTTTTATTTAAATGTCTTATAAACTAATACATTTTTGTGTATTCGTTAATGTAGCATTACATAGAAACGAGTCATAGGTACGATAGGATTAAATAAATTTAAAATTTGTCTGTATAAGAGTGAGTCAGGAAATCTGTGTATTAAAGCAGTGAACTTTAATTACATTTCAGTTTCAGTCTGTGGATTTCCGAATCTAAAGCTATAAAAGATTGACAGTTTTTTTCACCTTCTACCAAGTAAATGGGTTCATTTCAAGGTCTATCCTCCTCTATCATAAACATTGTATATGTTAGGTATATTATAATGAAAGTTTTTGATATATATAGCATACATTGAATAGTAAATGAATCGTCGCCTTTTTATAATATTAAACTCAAATTGTTTTCCTCGACAAAACGGTCATTCGTTTTCGAGCGAATCAAAATGATATTGAATAGCAGAAGTGCAAATATTCATATTTTCTGGCGTCATTTTATTTTGTGATTTATATATTTAACTGTTGCGTTAAAAACCTTTGAGCTGTCTGAACAAATAAAGTTTTTATATTTTACAGAAAATTCACAAAATTAGAAGTTTACGTCCATATAGTATATGCCAAGACTATCACATTGCGTGTAGCAAGATTGACAACATCAGTCAAGCTGTGATACGTGAAAGAGTAACAAGCAGCCATACAGTCTAACACACTCAAACGCTTATATTATATTATTAGTAGTTGTACGATTTGAAAACTTTATTATTTTTACATGTTATTGCACATGAAGGCACTATATAATTTAAAAATCGAAATTAAATTGAAAAAATTTCGACGATGAGGTGTAGGACTCGGTAGCCCAATTGAGCTACCGAGCGCAACAGCACGGAACGCTGACGATGCCGGTTCAAGTCCTGCCCGAGTCGAAAATTTTTTCAATTTAATTTCGATTTTTAAGTTGTACGATTATTAAGCAAAATGTATTTCAATTTTCTAAAAC